AAATGTAATTCTTACATAATAAGACTTGAAAGTGGAAATTATTCCTTGATCCATGGCTGCAGAATGGATGTTGTGTTAATAGGCATGAAAACAACATTATCTTGTACATCTCCATCAAAGCTCTCAGATAACCGGTGCATTGCCAACGAACAGTAATAATTTAAAAGGAATCTTTTCCTGAGCAGTGGGTCTCAGCAATGGCCTTAAAATATTCAGTAAAGCATATTGTCAACACATGTGCTGTCATTTAGGCTTTCTTATTCCATTTATAGAGTACAGGTGGAACAAACTTAGCATAATTCTTAAGGGCTTCCCTGGTGGCTCAGATGGTAAAGAGTCAGCCTGCAATGTGGGAGACCCAGGTTCAAGACCTAGGTTGGGAAGATCTCTTGGAAAAAGGAATGAATACCCACTCCAGTACTCTTGCCTGGAAAATCCCATGGATGGAGGAGCCTCGCAGGTTACAGTCACGGGGTTGCAAACAGTTGGATACGACTGAGCGACTAACACTAAGGGCCCTATGGATTTTCAGAACAGTAAATGAGCAATGGCTTCAACTTTAAGTCACCGGTTGCATTAGCCCCTAACAAGTGAGTCAGCCTTTGAAGCTTTGAAGCCAGTCATGTACTTCCTCTTCAGCTATGAAAGTCCTAGATGGCATCTTCTTCCCATAGAAAGCTGTTTCCTTACATTGAAAATCTGTTGTTCAGTGAAGCAACCTTCCTAATTGTCTTATTTAGATCTTCTGGGTATCTTGAAGCACTTACTGCTTCACTTTGCACTTTTATGTTATAGAGATGGCTTCTTTCCTTTAACCTCAGGAACCAGCCTCTGCTAGCTTCAAGCTTTTCTTCTGTAGCCTCCTCCCCTCTCTCAGCCTTCATAGATTTGAAGAGAGTTAGAGCCTTATTCTGGATTAGGCTTTGGCTTGAGGGAATGTTGTGGCTTTTTTAATCTAACTAGACCACTAAAACTTTTTCCATATCAGTAATAAAACTGTTTTGCTTTCTCATCATTCATGTGTTCACTGCAGTAGCACTTTTAATTTTCTTTAAGAACTTTTTATTTGCATCCACAACTTGGCTAACCTGCAAAAGAGGCCCAGCTTTCAGCTCATCTCAGCTTCTGATGTGCTTTTTCTATTAAGCTGGGCTTCCCAGGTGGCTCAGATGTAAAGAATCTTCCTGTAGTAGGGGAGACCTGGGTTCAATCCCTGAGTTGGGAAGATCCCCTGGAGAAGGGAATCTCTAGTATTCTTGCCTGGAAAATTCCATGGACAAGGGAGCCTGGCAGGTTATATAGTCCATGGGGTTGCAAAGAGTCGGACATGACTGAGTGACTAACACATACATTCTATTAAGCTTAATCATTTCTAGCTTTCGATTTAAAGTGAGAGATGTGCAACTCTTCCTTTCCTGTGAACACTTTGAGGCCATTATAGTATTGTTAATTTGTCTAATTCCAATATTGTCTTGTTTCAGGGAATAGGGAAGCCCAAGGAGAAGGAGAGAGACAGGGGAATGACCAGCTAGTCAGTGAGTGGTCAGAACACAAACAACACTTATTAATTAATATCACCTTCTTGCATAGGAGTGGTTTGTGGCACCCCAAAATGGTTACAATAGTAACATCAAAGGTCACTGATCATATAATACATATAACAAATACATATAATAATAACACGTATAGTAATAGTGAAAAATATATAACAAATACATATGTTGTTGTTTAGTCACTGAGTCATGTCTGACTCTTTTGCGACCTAGCAGGTCTGTAGCCTGCCAGGCTCCTTCTGTCCATGAGATTTCCCAGGCAAGAATCTTGGAGTGGGTTGCCATTTCCTTCTCCAGGGGATCTTTCCAACCCAGGGATTGAGACTCTATCTCCTTCATTGGCAGGCGGGTTTTTTACCACTGAGCCACCAGAGAAACCTCAACAAATACATATATAACAATAAAAAAATAAAAACATGTAATACTGTGAAAATTACCAAAACGTGACACAAAGACATGAGGTAAACAAATGCTGTCAGAAAAATGTCACTGATAGACTTGCTATACGCAGGATTGCCATAAACTTTCAATTTGTAAAACAAAACAAAAAAGTAGCATCTGCAAAGCACAATAAAATGAGGTACAATAAATGAATTATGTCTGTAATCGTTTTAACTCTTCCTTAACAGAATGAAATGCTCTGACAGCTGTCAACAAGATGTCAAATCCAGTCATTTAATACACACATTTTTCTTTTTTCATTTCTGCATTTTCTCTGAAGCCAAAACAATTTCTATAGTTTTAAAGCAATGAAGAAGATAAAAAAAAGTGTGAAGTACAGATATCTTGAGAAATCTCTTTCACTGAAGAGCTTTTAATCTCAGAAGCAACATCTGCAGCAAGCACATAGCAAGCTCCTGACCACAGGCATGAAGGGCACTCTTAAGACTGAGGGTGGAATTTGAGGGATCACCAGTTCTATAGGGAAATTTAATTGTGAAAGGAGGAGAAGATGCACTAGTTTGGCCTTGAAACAACTTACTTAAGGGAGTTAGTTCATCTAATTACTTTCCTTCATTCCTTCTAAAAAATGGGCCCTTCTACATGCACCACAACTAGAGTTTGCACACCACCACAAAAGATTCCACAAGACACAAGGAAGGTCCCACATGCTGCAACTAAGACTTGGCCCAGTCAAATAAATAAATAAAAATAAAACAACTGTGTGAGTCATGGCCGAGACCCCATAGATTGCTTCAGGTTGGAGCTGGTCACCGGAGAGAATAATCACATGATTAGAGGCCTGGAATACTGGGGCAGCCTGCTCTCCTAGTATGAAAGGAGGGCTGGAGATTGACTTCCATTATATTGGCCAATGATTTAATCAATCATGCCTATGAAATGAACCCCCCATAAAAACTCCTGACCCCAAAGCTGAGCAGCACATGTTGGTTGGTGAACACACTGTACCGGAAGGTGGCATACACTGTCTCTAAGGGGAGAGAGCATGGAAGCTCCATGTCTGGGACCCTTCCAAACCTTGCCCTTTATCCATCCTTATTTGGTTGTTCTGAGTTGTATTCTTTATAATAAAATTATAATTGTTAAGTGTAGAGATTTCCTGAGTTACTTAACTCACTATACTCTAGATCCCCAAGTGGGAGTAGAAACCAAAGTGGGACACCATAGAGGAAAAAACATGTATACATGTTGTAGAGAATGCTGGTCATTCTCCATGTTGATGAAATAAAAATTCACATTTTAAGGCAATACAGGGAAAATTTAAACATAATTTTTTGCTCTGCCCATTTGGGCCTTTTCCCTCCCCTCAAGTGTCCATTGTGCATGTGCATTATGTATTAACCAAATCTCCCCAGGGGCAGAAATACCTGCTTAATCATAAAGATGAAGTTTTCTCCTTCTGGCACCAGCCATGTCACTCTTTAGAAAATAACATAACTTTTTCAGTGTCACAAGGAGTCAAGGTGACCCACTGCTTGCTTTGTATGTGCAGCCATCTTTGATGAACTTTACGTACAATGCCAATACATCATTTCCCTTAAAGATAGTGATTCATGCAAAACAGACTGGCCAGGTGACCTGGGGAGATATGGACCATACCTAATGGAAGTTCTTAAGTACTCATTTATAAACTTATTAATGTTACTAGCTCTATCATTTGTATTCTGCTGATTTTTCATGATTATTGTTTCTTTTATTACCAAATGTGTGGCTGAGACTCAAATCAAATTAATGATTAGGCAGCTTGAAACAATTGATCAAATACATAGTTCTATAGGATCAATGATTATAAAAGTGTAACTCTAGGTATGGGAATAAGCAACAAGATGAAACCATTTCCTGAACTATAACAGAATAGTATGACAAGTGTTTCAGAAGTTTTTGGCCACTGTTAATGGGTACAGTCCAGTAATATATTGAGTGGGTTTATCAATGAAACATTTGCCTGACATGGGAATGAGCATTCCTAGCACCATGGGACAAACTGGTCATGAAATGTCTCCTAAATCTTGGTCAAAATTAGGACCTAAAGGGAAGGGATTGTAAAATAAAGAATATTGCCCACCATCCAGTTCTACAAGAAGTCATTAGCCACTACAGTTGCTGATTTATAACACACACTGAAAGGAATTCAGAGTGAAGAGTAGAATGAGGGACTTTGTGCTAGGGAAATGGACAGAACTGGCCCTTAGACAGTTAAACATTTTCAGCAGAAATTTCTTATGAACCTGTCTTGTATCTTTGCATACTTAGAAAAGTGTAACTAAGATGTCTGTTCCTAGTGACTAGCAACAGCTTTCTGTGGAACATGTACTTGATTACACGCATCCCTCTTGCCAAAATCACATATATACTGTCCTCTCCCTTTACCTCTTCAGAACAGTTCTCAGAACTCTCTGAGAGACTTTCCTAGATTATAATTCTCAGTTTGACTCAAATAAAATTTTCCATTTCTTTCTTATATTGGCTATTTTGTTGACAATATCTAGGCTTGCTTTTTCACATAATAACAGCTTCTTACAGTTAGGTACATGTTCACCCAGCCAAAAACTATGTTTCTCAGTCATCCTTGTAACTAAGCATGTGTAAGTAAATTCCAAACAAAAAGATGTATGCAGAAGTGTTATACATCCTCCCTTTCCCTTTTTATGATGAAAGCTATTTTCTGTCTTTGAAAACTCTAACCTTAGCATTTTACCTTTTGATAGCAGATAACAACTCTAATCTGTTCATTTCTTTCTCTCTTAGCTTGGCATCTAAGATCCAAGACTTGACCCTCTTTAAAACATGTATAATACTACATAGGATTATTTAATACGTTTATCTGAGAGATTAATAAATTCTGCCTGAAGTCCCAAAAATGTCTGGTGGCCAGCTGGTAATATCACATCACAAGGTCTGGATTCTGTACAGAAAAGATGTATGTTAATATGCATAGCCACTATTTCCAAAAGCATTTGCATAGACACAGTGTGAAAGAGGCACCTGTAGGAAAAACTCCTCCATTAGGGCCATGGTCCATCGGTGGTGCAGCTTCCAGGATTTGGCTGGGTGACTGATGTCTGCTGCATGGAGAATCAGGGACATGGTTTTGGCTTTGTCAAGCCTGTCAAAACAAGGGCATGCTCAAATTATCAGAACAAAGTAACCAACTGCAGTCTTTTCCAAGTCCAAGCCCACAGAACTTTAATATGAAAAAAAAATTATAACCTACCCTTCAGGTTGCTGCAAACTATTTCTTATATTTTTAATTTGCTGGAAGTGACCCGACATGTCTGTAGACAAGACCATTTCAATCACTAGGTTCCGAAGATCCCTGTGGAGTCATGAAAAGCAGAAAGATTTGGCCTTTTTCTTTGTTCTCAAGTGAAACATTTAATATTAAGAATTACATTTTATTTTTTCTAATGGTATGAGCAGAAAAGATGCTATATTTTTAAATATAAAAGAGCTTATAGAAGTTTGGCTTTAGGATGTCGCCAGGAGAGCAATCTGTGAATGATGCTGTGTAACATCTCCTTTTAAAGAACTGGATGCTTTCCCTCCCATATACACAACCCTTTCCCACTCATACTTTCTAAATATGACTTTTAGAAATAATTAATATCAGAAAGGATCCTAACCAATTTTAGAGAAAAATCACTTTAAGGCAGAATTTACTATTAATAAAACTACCACCAATATCCAATATTTATTCATTCCAGACAGTGTTTTAAGTGCTTTTTATGTGAGGGGCACTATTATTTCCAACCCAAGAGGGTTGAGTTGTTTGCCCAGTCACACAGCTAGTATCTAGCAGAGATCAGACTCAACCGCAAGGGTAGTACTACCAAAGCTGACGTTGGACCACTCCATTGTACCAAGTTTCCATCATAAGAACTCCAGGAAATCAAGACTATAAGTGACTGGGAATTCTCTGTTTAAGCTCTGGGGGCCTTGATCCTACATATCATAGACAGAGCTATTGGTACTGTTGAAATTGTAACCAAGACACTGTAAATATGGTGACCATATCACAAAGCCTATGCATGAATAAATCATTCTCACACTAAGCAAGAGGTGAGTAACCCCAGCAAAGCCTTGCATGTTCTACAATTCATTGCTTGCTCAGTACAGATAGGTAAAACAGTCACTTATGCTGGAAATCATATTTTATTTTTATTCTGTGGCCAGTAGAGTAAGCTAAATTACAAGTGTATGGCAAACTTGAGTTATGATCGTGTGTCAAAGATGTTTTACCTAAAGTTGGTATGATTGGATGATTTGTTTTAAAAAACAATACATATTGGAGATTCTTGGCGAAAATTATGGGTGCTCAACTCATCTGGGTTTTTAGATGGGAGCAATGAGAAAACAATACTCTGATTACTTACTGTTCATGATATTGGATAGCCTTCTTAGAATATACTTTTACCCAAATATTAAGGGAATGGAAGCTATCAAGTAAGTTAATACAATTATTCTCAATTACATTTTTTCTTCCAAACTATGAGATATCCATGTTACAATACCAACTGTACCAAAACATTCATGTTAAGTAGGAAAAATGAGAGAAAAGCTTTATGAAATCTGTAAGATTTAATAAATACATTGTAGTTTGCAGATGTAATGTGAAAAAAGAAACAACAGACCCAAAATGCATTATTTGTGCTAAACCCACATCAAACCAAGATTTGATACCTAATTTATAGTTTTAACCTCCCCTAGAAGTGAAAACAAACCAATCAATTATCTGGTCAGCACTAGGAAGGAAATCCGCCTGATAGACCCCTACTATCCCCCAAAGAAAGGTGATTTTGCTGGAAACAATCAGATCCTTTCTAGAATAACTTTCTTGTCTTGCCTCTTTCTACTTATAAAATTCTGCCATTTTGTACAGTTATTAGGAGCTCCTTTTTATCTGCTAGATGGGATGTTGCCCAATTCATGAATTGTTGAATAAAGTCAATAAGATCTTTAAAATTTACTCAGTTGAATTCTGTTTTGTAACAGTAATCAGTAAATGCTAGGTGTTATCAATAATCAACTAATAATATATCAATAAACTGGTACACAAAGGAAATGTATTTTTTATAAATATTTCTTGCCAAAATTTAAAAATTGTTGCATTCATGGTTACTAAAGTTACTTGAAGAAATAGATATGCAAACAGAAAACCTACAAGTCTTTAAAAAGCTATCCATATTTTAATTCTTGGTGAAATAGTATTAAGGTTATACTAGCAAATACATTTTTATAGCTTTTGGAAACAGCATTGGATTTATTAAATTCTACCATATCATAAATCATATATAAGTCAACTCATAAATCATGTGATATTGCTGCAGGGAGGAAGCCAATTCTGACTCCATGTTTGAACTGTCTCTTTGATTTGTTTTTCATTGCTTTTGTTATTATAATCATACAGAATGGTTTGCCTAAGAGAATCTTGCCCTTCTGCCTGACTATTAAACTAAAGTGCCTTTGTTCACAACCCTGTCCACCCCTGGGTGGCAAGAAAGAAGAAATTAACACATCCCCTGCCTGAGGTTTGCCATTCTAGGAGATGTTTGCAACATTAATAGCCATTTCACTTTGATTTCTCACCTCCCCTCACCTTTAATCTATAAAAAGAACCTGGCATCCAGACACCAATAAGATGGCTATTTTGAGGTGCTAGTTTACCATCTTCTCTGTCTGCCTGCTCCCTGATTAAAGTCTCTTCCTTGCCTCAACATCTGTCTCTAGGATTCATTGGCCTATTGTGCAGCAAACAGAGAAAGCTTGGACCTGGTAACAATATTATGGTATTTCTTAAACAAATTTGCAAGCTTCCTGGCAGTCCAGTTGTTAGGACTTGGTACGCTTATTGCCAGGGCCACAGGTTCAATCCCTCGTGGGGGAACTATGATCCCATAAGCTGTGTGGGATGGCCAAAAAAAAAAAAAAAATTATAAAACCATTCAGTTAGGATGTTTTGTACAGTAAGCTACTTGTTACTGTACAAAAATATAAAAAATTACAGGTGCAAACTATTAGAATAAATAATAAAGATGTTAAAGAAAAAACTGTAATAGAAAAATATCACACCGAAACAACAACAGAATCAACTTAGAGAAGAAGAGGGTTAATTCAAAGGAATAACAAAAGTTAATAATGCAAATATAACCTCTGGGAAGGATAATCACTGATGAAGCAATAAATTAATATTCTAGATGGAAAGAGTCAATCTCTGGGACCTTAGGAACCAACTCTGCACCTGATTCTACCCTTACCCTTCTACTTTCCACATACCCAACAGTGGTGCCTTTTATGATTAGATCCTGGCCTTCCTAGGTTGGTGACCCAACTGGGCTATGTTTCCTGTGGAATGAAATGTAAGACCTGAACTGGGTTCCCAAAACAAAATGCTTCTTTCCTCCCACATTAGAGCTTTTTCTATGTCTGTAAAAGTGAGCCCATGTTTTTCCTGGCCTTGAGAATCCAGAAAGTTTGAATATTTGAAAAAACAACCATGGGAAATTAAGGCTTCTTTTAAATTCTAAATTAACCTCTTATTTCTTTATTTTAAGGCAGATCTTAATCCCAGGTTACTTCTTTGGACATTTCCTTTTAGCTTGATTTAAATTAAAAAACAAACAAACCTTTGATGTTTGCATCTGAATTGGATTTTTTTCAGCACATTAACTGATTTAACAAGATCTTTGTTAAAGATAAAGGCTTTTTAAAAAATATAAGTAGGTCACAGTATACTAGGGATGTCAGTTCAGTTCAATCACTCAGTTGTGGCCGACTTTTTGCGACCCCATGGACTGCAGGATGCCAGGCCTCCCTGCCCATCACCAACTCCTGGAGTTTACTCAAACTCATGTCCATTGAGTCTGTGATGCCATCCAACCATCTCATCCTCTGTTGTCCCCTTCTCCTCCTGCCCTCAATCTTTCCCAGCATTGGGGTCTTTTCCAATGAGTCAGCTCTTCAAATCAGGTGGCCAAAGTATTGGCGTTTCAGCTTCAGCATCAGTCCTTCCAATGAATATGCAGGACTGGTTGGATCTCCTTGCAGTCCAAGGGACTCTCAAGAGTCTTCTCCAGTACCACAGTTCAAAAGCATCAATTCTTCAGTGCTCAGCTTTCTTTATAGTCCAACTCTCACATCCATATGTGACTACTGGAAAAACCATAGCCTTGACTAGATGGACCTGTTTTGGCAAAGTAGTGTCTCTGCTTTTTAATATGCTGTTTAGGTTGGTCATTAACTTTTCTTCCAAAGAGCAAGCGTCTTCTAATTTCATGGCTGCAGCCACCATCTGCAGTGATTTTGGAGCCCCTGCCAAAATTTGTTGGAGCCCAAAGAAAACCAAGGTGAAGGAACAGATCAAGATCATCATGGAGGATCTGGAATTAGTCCTTGGCGACCTGAGGGATATAGCCAAGGAACTTGAGGAGCATGTTTACAGTCTATTGGTCACAGTTTTGTGTGAAAAGGAGATACCCCACATCCAAGGTCAGGAGCGGCAGCCGTGAAGAGATCCCCCACGTCCAAGGTCAGGGGCGGCGGCTGTGCTTTGCTGGACCAATCATGAGGAGATTCCCCACATCCAAGGTCAGAGAAACCCCAGTAAGACGGTAGGTGCTGCAGCAGCTGTGAGGAGCTACCTCACATCCAAGGGCAAAGGAGAAGCCCCAGCAAGGCGGTAGGAAGGGGAATTCGGATTTAGAATCAAACCCCATTCCCAGCAGAGACGCTGAGAGGGCTCAAACAAACCTTGTGTGCACCAGGACCCAGGGACCTAACAGAGACTGAGACAGAACTGGGTTTGAGCATCTCCTGTGGAGGTACGGGGCAGCAGTGGACTGCCACAGGGGCAGGGGCTCTGGGTGCAGCAGATTTGGGTATGACATAAGCCCTCTTGGAGGAGGTCGCCATTAATCCCACCATAGAGCTAACTAGGGATGTACTTACACTAAAAAATCTCTATGTTTATCTGAAATTTACACTTAATTGTATGTCTTTTATTTTTGTTTGCTATATCTGGCAATCCTACAGTAAATGAAGGAGATAATAATGACTAAAGGATCAAGAGGAAAAGAGGAAATGTTATGCTGAGTGGGAGGGGTACATCTTATTTTCTTCTACATGGCAATAAGCAATAACTTTTCATGTAAATTATTTTAACAATACAAATGGTTTGGAAAATATTTACGATTACCCTCTGCATCTAGGTCATTTTAGCATATCTGTAGTTTTTTCCCCAAATAGCGAATTTTTGTTTTTTAGAAAAGCTCATATCCATGTACAAAAAAGTAGTATATGAAGGAATCAGACACAAAAATTCTGAATTAACGTAAGACCACATATTGGTACAATTGAGCAGAACTCCATTCCAAGGAGGGCCTTCCTGGTGACTCAGATGGTAAAGAATCAGCCTGTGATGCAGGAGATGCAGGAGACATGGGTTTCATCCCCAGATCAGGAAGATCCACTAAAGAAGGGAATGGCTACCCACTCTACAATTCTTGCCTGGAGAATTCCATGGACAGAGGAGCCTGGGGGCCTACAGTTTATGTGATCATAAAGAGTTGGACACGACTGAGTGACTAAGCACTTTAGCACCATTTCAAGGAGTATGTAATTATGTATCTTAAGGTGTTATGTGGTCTTATGAATTGGTTATGATGCATATAGATGTTGAATTGGCCTTGAAATAGTTCAGCTCCATCTACAGGGCCTTGTTCCTGAATAGACTTCCAGTACTAATCTTCCAATCAAGAGGAATTTAGTTTGTTTTGTGATTAAAGGATTGACTTTCATCTGTTTTCTTCACATTAAATCACATAACATTTTCCCTGAAATTAAATTTCCTCTATATTCCTCTGAAACTCACCTCCAGTCATCTTTGGATAAATTTATCAGGACATTCATTTCTTCTTCTTGCATAAGTCGATAAGCTGCACTCACATGATGATTTTCAAGGACAGAGCGATCGTTATACAAAATGGCAACATCTGACCTAAGAAATAAAAACAAAATGCTTACTAGAGGATTTTTTCAGACCTCATGAGTATCTATTAAGAATACCCAAGTCATAAGGCATAATAATATCAGTAAAAATCCAATAATTGAACACCTAAATTTACAGAGGTACTTAGTTTCTTTTTTTTTTTTTTTTTACTGTATAACAATTTTAAAAAACAGACTTTATCTTTTAGAGCAATTTTAGGTTTACAATAAAATTGAGCAGAATGTACAGACATTTGCCATATACCCCTTGGTCTCACACATACATAGCCTCCCCCATTATTAACATTCCCAACCACAGAGGTACATTTATTAGAACTAATGAACCTACATTAAACATTGTTATCAGAGACCATAGTTCACATTAAGGGTTTACTCTTAGTGGTGTAAATTTTATGGGATTGGACTAATGTACAATGACATGTATCTACCATTAATGTATTATACTGAGTACTTTCACTGCCCTAGAAATCCTTTGTGATCTGCCAATTAAGACTTCCCTTCCCATCCCCTTAATACCTGGCAACCACTGGTCTTTTTATTGTCTTCACAGTTTTGCCTTTTCCAGAATAACATATGACTCTATGTAGTCTTTTCAGATTGGATTCTTGTACATTTTAGTATGCATGTAAGCTACCTGCATATCTTTTCATGGCTTGATAGCTCAATTCTTCTGAGCACTAAATAATATTACATTATTTAGGTGTAACACAGTTTATTTATCCCCTCACCTGCTAAATGACATGTTAGTAGCTTTCAAGTTTTGGCAATTATGAACAAAGCTGCTATAAATACCCATGTGCAGGTTTTCATGTGTACATAAGTTTTCAGCTCTTTTGGATAAATACCAAGGAGAGTAATTATCAGCTCATATGGTGAGACTATATTTAGTTTCATAAGAAACTACCAAACTGTCTTCCAGTATGGTTGTACCATTTTGCATTCCCATCAGTAACGCCTGAGAGTTTCTGTTGATTCACATCTTCACTAGTGTTTGGTGTGTCAATGTTCTGGATTTTAGCCTTTCTAATAGATGTATAGTGATATCTCATTTTTAATTTGCATATCCCTGATGACATATAATATGGAGAATCTTTTCATAAGCTAATTTGTCATCTGTGTATCTTTTTTGGTGAAGTGTCTGTAAGGAGCATTTTAAAATCAGGCTGTTTTCTTATTGTTGACTTTTAAGAGTTTTTTATATGTTTTGTACAATAGTCTTTTATCATATGTACCTTTTGAAAACATTTTCTCCTACTCTTTGGCTAATCTTGTAACTCTCTTGCTATACCTAGGATCATCTAGATTTTCTCCTATGTTATTTTCTAGGAGTTTTAGAGTTTTTCATTTTACATTTAGGTCTATTATTCATCTTAAATTAATTTCTGTGAACAATATAAGGTTTGTGTCTGGATTCTTTTTTTTTTAATGTGTCTGTCTAGTTGTTCTGGCACCATTTGTTGAAGGGACTATCTTTGCTCCATTGTACTGCATTTGCTTCTTTGTTAAAGATCAAATTTAAAAGGAAATCTATTGGGGGGAGGTGATATATGCCATTAGCTAACTGCATATGTTATTCCACTTTTATAATAGTTCTGGAAACAAAAGAGGAAGTAACTATTCTAGTCCCTAATAGGTCATTTCCTTTTAAATTTTATTACAATAGTCATAGCTCAATATACAGAAAACTGAACTAGGAACACATATATGCTATCCTTTTAGAGAAAATTTAATATATTTTGTGCAAGTATCTTCAGAAATTTGCTGAGATCATGGGTAAAACTGTGATTTGCAAATCACATATTTTGTATCATACAATCTCAGATTTAGCCACGGCAGTTTTGTCAAGTTTATTGTATAATATGGATCTAAGCATCACTATTTCTTCCTTTCAGCAACAAGTAAAGATGTGTTTTTTAATCAGATTTAATTACAGCAAAGTCTATGTGATTTTGTCTCATAAATCCAACAAGATGCTGAGAATACAGAATGGTTTTAATGTTTGAGATAATCTCTGACTGCTATGGAAAGAACAGAATTCTAAGCAATACTCAGTGTCCATGGTAACATGTCGCTTAGCATTTGCTTTTCACAAAGAGGAAATTATCTCTATTTATTTACACTTTCAAAGATTTCTATGGCTTACAATGGCTGTGTTGAACTCAAATCTAGCCTTGCACCATGTTTTAAATTATTTTTCAGACATTTTGCATTATATAGTAAATAGTTTTCCATATTAGAAAAGCAACTCTAAATCCAAGTAACAAATAATAAAAAATACAAATTATTAGTATCAGTAACTTAAGACCAATATATATTTGGACAAAATGTAAAGCCAATAGAGCTTCTAAAAGCACATCATATTGATGCATGTGTGATCACTGCAATCTTTTTGTTCATAAAATGTTCAAGTTCTTATAGAATTAATCCATTAAATAATTGATCCTAATAGAAAATTTATAAGAAAATAAATAAAATACTAGACCTTTCCCTCACTTTTAATACAAAGCTTCTTAATATAAAATGGAGAAAAGTGTATTCTTCTTCATCTTCCTCCTCCCTCTCCTCTTTCTCCTTCTCTTCTTCCTCCTCCTTTTTCTCCATCTACTTTTCTTTTCTGCTGTCTAAAGTATAAGTTACAAATCTTCATCCAGTTGTAAATCAATGATAAAAGGAGAAAGCTAGGAATGATCATTTATACTGCTGCTAGAGGCTAGTCCATTGCCTTTACTTTTCAAAGTAGAAAGAGCAAGAATTATTTTTTAGGGAACAAATCACTTGCTCCCTTCTCTAATTCCCCAAACTGTGACCCTACTCAAGGCCCAGCTCAGTAATGAGCTGTCTTTAAAATCCCACTTATGAATTTAGTGGATGTAGAAGAGTCTTTGCTAAGCAAAAATGATCAGCATAGTTTCCCTTTCCTTTGATGTTTAACACAAACGAAAACACGACATCTCCATATGCTATAAATGTTAGGTTAGTAACATTCTTGCTGCCCAACCAGACTTCAAGGCCTTCCTATTCACTTCATGCTCTTTTAATCTGGGAGACTCTAGGGGCAGACAGAATGCTTTCTCCAACATTTCATTGCCTGAATTCCAACTCTTTTGTCTCTGTCAAGGGGCCATAATTCTGAAGTCCACCCACTGAAGGATATAAGACTATGACGGTTACATGTCTGTCTTTGACCATGGGAGCAGAGTTACATTAAGTACACTGGGTTGAGAGCAAGTATCCCTCATCTCAGTGTCTCAGCCCTGCTACTGCCATCAGGCGACTATGTGCATATAGTTAGGTAATTTCCTCCTTCGAGATCTTTGCTGTCTCTTCTTAGACTGTGAGGATTAGGCCAGAGGTTATAGAATGTGGATCTCGGTCACTGTAGGATCCCTTGAAGCTCTAAAATGCCAAGTATTTTAATGTTTCTATGCTCCCCACATAAAAACAACAGATTCCTATAGCTAGGAAGTCAGTTTTAAAAACACTGCTGTTAAAATACTGCACAAAAAAAGACCACACAAAAATCTGCACATGAACATTTACATAAACTCTAAAATTTAGAGGAAACCAAGATACCCTTCAGGAGTTGAATAAGTGAACTCTGGGACATCCACACACTGGAACATTATTCAGTAATGAAAAGAAATGAGCTATCAACTCATGAAAAGACATAGAGGAACTTTAAATGCATATTGTTAAGTGGGAGAAACCAGTTTGAAAAGGCTTTATACTGTATTATTTCAACTAGATAACATTTTGTAGAAGGCAAAACTGGAGACCTTAACAAGATCAGGGATTGCAGTGCTTAAAGCAGGAAGGAGGGAGGCTGGAATGAAAAGATGAAGCACAGAGGACTTTTAGGGCAGTGAAACTATTATGGATGATACTGTAATAGTAGATACTTGTCATTATACATTTGTAAAGCTCATAAAATGTATAACACAAGCAGTAAACTGTAATGTAGGCTATGCATGCATGCTAAGTTGCTTCAGTCGTGTCTGACTCCATGAGACCCTATGGACAGCAGCCCATCAGGCTCCTCTGTCCACAGGATTCTCCAGGCAAGAATACTGAAGTGGGTTGCCATTTCCTTCTCCAAATGTAGGCTATAGATTTTAGCTAATAATAATGTATCAATATTGGTTCATCAGTTGTAACAACTGTACCACACCTGAGGTAGGATGTTAAAAACAGGTGAAACGGTGGGGATGGGGAAGGAGTACATGGGCTATCTGTACTTTCTGTTAAATTTTTATGTAAATCTAAATCTACTCTAGGAGTTAAAAATAAACAACAAAAAATAACTAAGCTTAGTTTTCCCTCAACAAGAAGAGAGTAATTACTCTACAGTAATTCCTGAGTGAAATCAGTCTCTTAACTTACATCTCCATCTTAAGCATCTCTGACCAGTGGAAGACACAGAAATTCAGGATCCCATGTATACAAATGAATCGGATCCTGATGGTCCTGGACCAAATTCTGCCTCTCGAGCAATGAGATCTCTTTGCAACCAGAAAGAGCTTAAAGCCCCTTTCTATTAAGGGCTGAATGAGTTCCCCAAAACTTCCAGGTTTATAATCCTAACCCCAGTACCTTAGAATGTGACTGCATTTGAAGCTAAGGCTTTCAAAGACATAGCTAATGTTAAAAGAGGTCATAAGGGTGGGGCCCTCATCCAATATACTGATGTCCTTGTAAGACCAGGAAGAGACCCCAAGGTATACTCAAGCAAGAAAAAAGGTTGCTGAGGACACAGCAAGAAGTCAGCCATCTGGAAGCCTAGGGGAGAGGCCTCAGAAGAAACCAAACTTGCTTACACTTTGATTTTGCATGTTTAGTCTTCAGGACTTTGAGAAAATGTCTGTTATTTAAACCACCCAAACTGTAGTATTGTGTGACAGCCTTAACCAACTAAGGCTCCTCTACTCTGGTATTCTGAGTCTAATAACTACCATTATTACCACAACTAAAAATCCAATTTTCTCATTGTTTTAAATTTAACATTTCTTATTAACCTATAAATAGGATTTCTTTTATTTTTAATTTTTTTTTCAAAAATAAGTTTTCATGGCGTTCAAATACATAATGACACCAAACTGATGCCTTGACATGAAACTGACAAACTGACATCAAACAAATGATGCAAGATTTGTTCCAGGGAATCGATGTCTGACGTGTGTGACAGTTTAACGTAAGTTCTGGGCAGAGAAAAACTATCTTATGCGTATTTCTGTTCTTCAAATTGCTAAATATGCCACCAAAAAATACAAGATTCTTGATAAATAGGAACTGACTGAAGTGTTTGTAGCTTAAGGCATTTTGCTAAAATCTATTAAATTCATTTTTTTAGACATCTTCATTATTGTTTTGAAATCCTCTTAAAGAATAAGTAATACTCAGAAAAATTAATGTCAAATTTTAACTTAGAAAAGTTAATCCTTTACCTTACCTTGTCTGAATATGAAAATTGTTTGTAGTCCCTGTATGTTCATAGTCATGAATGGCAGCGGCAAAGACCATTGCTAAAATTTCCAGTTCAGTCAGCCAGTGCTATTAAATTAAGGAAAGATTCCATCACATCAAAAAGTAGAATCAATGTTGTCTTTCTACAGAAAGCTTCATCGCACAGAGTATAAATCATTATATAAAATTCTTTTTATGAAGTTTAAATAATTTTCCCTGTTTCATCTTCATTAACTGTACATAGTGGATGCTTCACAAGGTTGATGATTGTTTAATAACTTGTAAGTTAAAAATCAAGACATTATAATTTTCCTTGTTAATTGGAAAACATGGTAATATTCTATCATTTAAAAGGTGAGCTCTAAATGGATTTTGAATTTACAGCCTTACCAATTTGGGTTCTAATGAAATCATTTAGAGTTTAGTAATTTTTAACATATAACTCATACAATATTAAAATGTCTTTTAGCTCAACTTTTGTAGAAGAATTTACTATGAGAAAAGAGTTGAAAATGTTTACTTTGGTCATTAGAGAAACTGAACTTAAGTTTTATATTTAGAAATTTAGAAGAGTTTCCAAGAGTTTATTGCTTGCTCTTCTTAATACATCTATTTTATGACTATACAGTTAAACTTAATAGCAATGAAAGAGTAAATGTTTTCACATAAAATCCAAAGCACTGCTTCAAATACACTGATATTTTTTTATTATCAACTGGATGGTTTAACAAATTTTCTTTACTCTTATAAGTTCATTTAGGTAATTCAATAGTTTGTTCACCACTCACATTTTGTGTAACACTTTAACTGCATGGTTCAATATGACAATCACATGTGACTATTTAAATTAAAAATAAGTAAAATTATGTTCTCTTTTTCAGCCACAGTAGCCACATGTCAATTGTTCAATCATAGCAAGTGGCTATCTTATAGAACAGTGCAGATAGAAAATGTCTCCATCACCACGGAAGTTCTATTGGAGAGTGCTGTAAGTGGGTAGTACTTGATGGCAGGAACGGAAGATCCAAAATGACACGGAACTTGCTCCTAATGGTCTTATTCCATATACATGGAAAAGGCTTTACACAAAGTAGCAGAAAAATACAATGTAAAGTACATGCATACTTGATGAAAACGCACAGAATAAAGGTGTAGATAGGACGTCTATTTGGTGGCAGTGGATCTTGGATGAAGGATGGACAAATATTGGTAGTTAAACGCAAGGTTGAGAACCGAGAGATTCTAAATAGAAAGAGTAAATATGGAATGGTACTGTAGAATGGAATGGTAGAGGCCTGCATGGAAATTGCACTGCTAATAGTACAGTTGTGTTGGAGAGTCAAGTGAAGGGAGACTGAAAAGAGAAGGTGGGATATGGGAAAGAATCAATAGATTACCTTGATTAGAACCGATGAATTAGGATTTTGAATAAAAGTCAAGGAGAAACCACTGTAAGTCTATGAATCAAACAGTGGAGGTGACACTGTTGAGTTTCATGGTTGCCAAAAGGCACAGTCTTATTCATCTTTGCTTCTTTCATATAACACATCGTGGTATTTGGTACATAGTAGAAACTTAACATTTGTCTGTTGAATTGAATTTCACCAGTTTTAATTTTAGGAGGAAGTAATAGGGAATGGTGGAAAGAGACTGTGCAATCAGAGAAGTCTGGTTTTAAACCAGGCAAATAAGTTATTTAATCTCTCAGGTACAGTTTCCATGAAAAGAGAATTAGTGATCATTCCCCTGTGGACTTTTAAAATAAATTTAAAGTTGATATATATGTGTGGCACCTATCACAAGTCTTATCATATAGTAAATACAGAATAAATGGCATTTTACCAAACTTATTACCTTAAATGGGCTTCCCTTGTGGCTCAGCTGGCAAAGAATCTACTTGCAATGCGGAGACCTGTGTTCAATCCCTGGGTTGGGAAGATCCTCTGGAGAAGGGAAAGGCTACCCACTCCAGTATTTTGACTAGAGAATTCTGTGGACTGTATAGACCATGGGGTCTCAAAGAGTCGGACACAACTGACTGACTTTCATTTCCTTAAATACACTGTTTAAGGTATTGAATCTGGAAACTAATAGTGAGCTAACATATCTTTACTGATTGCAATTCAAAAATAAATGCCTCACAGTTGGATGACTGAAGCAGAAATGATATTCAGACCCAAGGAGAGTTGATATAACTAGCTGCACTGTGTTTATAGGTGCATTTAATTGTGAGTCATTAAAAGGAAATGACATATTAAAAGCTTATATTACAGGCTGAACTGGGACTGAGCCTCCAATGTCCCCACTGAGACTATGGAATTAAACACCATAAAATGAATAGCAATTTAAGTTAGACCAAATTTTGTAACCCCCAGAAATCCATTGTTTTATTAAAGAAAATTGTTGTTAGAGAAAAAAATCACCCATTTTCTTAAATATTTCCTATTGGTTATATTTAAGATTTACAGACTTACCTGTGATTTTTAAAAGCAACATTTTATATCTACTATGATAACAGAGACTATGAAGCTGCAATTGTAAAAAAATTAAATTAGGAAATCAGAGATAAATTTTAGTTATAGATTATATCAAAGTATTTAAAATTATTATCTTCCTAGCTGTCAAAATTGATTATACATATGCTTCCTGTTTTTGGTCTTACTAATCTCTGCCTCCCATAAACAGTATTTCTTTCATGAATTCATCTTGTTTATTGTCACACTACCATCTTAACAATTAAATTTAACATAACAAACTAGTTTGGGAAGAGAGAAACATTGAACATTCACATTTAATTGAAAAATACATCTATTTCATATTAGTGAAAGTAGAGCTGGGGGCTAATTTTTATCTTCTTAGTTGACAATTTATTTTATACTGGTGTCAAATGAGAATTCTAACTCAGAAAATGGCTGCTTAAATTTGAGGATTTTGTAAATGACACATGAGGACAAGTCACAGAGAATAAGCCTTAATCATATCACTCTTCCCAACCAGAACAGAGGTTAGTACATAACCCAAGTTCTTCTTATCCCTAATGGACAGAAAATAAAAGTTAAAATGAAGAGTCATGAGGAATGTAGATACTGTGCTTCATCTAAACTGCATTTTGCCTAGAGAAGTGCTCAGGTAGACTTACTTGTAAAGTCCTCAAATTACACCAGAGGAAGGTATTAACTGTCATTAACACCATGTACAGTGTTGATGGAAAGAAAGGAGAAGGAACTAACATTAACTGGACATTTTAGGCAGATGGTTTCATTTAATTTTTATAATCACCCTATTTACCATTTACAAGGTAAATGTTTTAAACCTCATTTGGCAGATAACACAGCCAAATCCTAAAGAAGTGAATCAATCTGCAGAAGGTCACATAGCTTTCAAATGGCAGGGCAGGAATTCAAACTGCATCTGACTTATTCCAAAATTTCTGTTCTTTCAACAGATCACAGTATTCCTTCATTCTGTGGATGACAATAGCCTTCATTATTTAAGGGAGGCAATATGTTAAATATATTCTTCTAAGGTTTCAAAAGCAGAATTTCTAGATAATTTAACTGGATACACTGATGGATAGAGAAGCTAACAAAGCTTTAAGACTTATGATGTAATTTTCATATCTAAATTATTTTGTGTGTGTGCATGTATACAATAGAGAATGTATGTGTGTATGTGTGTGTGTGTATAAGGCTGGGAGAATTTTAGGTTAGAATGTCACACTAACCTGTTGGTTCCTGGTGTATTTAAAAAAGCATAATTAATAACCCCTTACAGTATAGGTAGTTTTGAACCTTTTTTCTCTATCCCTTTGAATAGATGGAGTTAGTTTGCTCTAACTAACCCAATGTGGAAAGTGAGTATAATAGTATTAATATATAATACATATAAGTTAATATATAGTGTAATAAATTGATAATATTTCTGACTAATTGCTGTTATGTTTCAGCAACTAGGTTAGGTTTACACATATGATATCATTACGCCTCACTGTCATACTACCAGGTGGTCAGGATTATTAAACCACATTTTAGTGACAAGGGAACAGAGTAGACAGCAGGAAAGCTAGGTAGTGGGGAAGTTAGGTTTGAAATCAATATCTGCTTGCCTTGAAAGCCCACACTGTGTCCACTCTTCCAAACACTGTTGAATTGGAAGTCATTTACAAGAAGAGAATTTCCATGTAGTTTGTAGAATAGAGACATAGTGGTAAATTTTTGTAGACTGGAGAAAAATTGAGTAGTTTCAAAGTATGAGGGGCTATTTCTGAGCGTAGTCAGTGGACCACAAGTTCCAAAGGAATAGTTTTCAAGTTACTTCTCTTCGACTCAGTATCAGAGAGAACACAATGCCAGGAGCCCTCAAATATAAGTGTTCTCTTGCCAAGGCCCTCAAATGGTTTCATATTCGAAGAGTCATTTGGAAGCGGGTTGGCAGTACACGGTGAAGCATTTGATCTTTAGCAAATAGCTCAAGCTACCACACACCCCTGTCACCTTGCACAGAGCAACAAGTTAATTAAGTGAGAAAAGGAGACAGAGGGAGACAGAGGGTCAGCTGTCTTATCAGCTCTGCACTGCCTGCTCCAGGCCTGAGAGCATCCCAATATGACACTAACAAACTGAAGGACAGTGGCCTCATCGCAATCCTTTTCAGGCAATGGTCCTGTGAACATTTCACAGCTAACAGGCTGCACTAGTCGCCTGACAGTATTAGGCTGCTACTGGAGCGCTCCATAAACGTCATGCCGATAAGACCATTCTGAAACAGCAGGGCATTGGCTAAAACACTAACGTAAGTGACCCTGTCTTCACCATATCAAATCTTTGGGTCTTCGGCTAAATGCATATTTCTATAAGGCCTTTTTTGTTTGTTTGTTTCAAAGAACCAATCCATTCATATGTGTGAAAATTAATACTCAACTTCTACCACTGTTTTTTTTAATCTAAAAAACTTGTTAAAATACCTTGCAAAAAACCATCGAGCTGGTAGTATAACCTAGTTTTGACAAAATAGTCAATACACTAAAAATTCATTTTGCTTTTCCTCTCATCATCAATCATAAAAGTTTGCAATCGTTTAAATGTATTTTCCTGATCCTAGACAACACTGACAGTCTCCAACTCAACTATTTTTGTAATGGCCAAGCTAAGGGGTAAGAATGGAGTCCACCGACACTTTTCTTGTTAAAGGATGAATTTAGAAATAAGTTTCTAAACCAAACATGCTATAGTATATTGAAGTTATATTTATCGGTTAGTATCTCAAAAAGTGACTATGTCATCTTTACTAACAATTTAAACTTTCTAGGAGTCATGCCAGGCTGGGCCAGATTTCCCATCTCCCAGAGAAGTTGGAATAGCTTGTTAGATTTTGGAACAAGCCTTCCTTGCAAGTCTGAGGGTAAACTCACATTGTGGGTTTGAATTTCTCTATTTGCCCGCTAATATAGCATCCCTCATCTGTTTAATGTCACCTTCAGCACAGAGATTCCAAAGCTGAACAAGGAGACTTTTATTTGGTTGCCTTTACACTTGTAGTACTTAAGCAAAAAAAATGTATTTTAGAACAACATCCTGGTTACCTACCACCCTGAAATGGCATATATCTTCTCCTCATACTTCATAATTAAAGCCGATATTTTTATACCAAAGCAGGCAGAGCTTTTCCATTCTATTTTGTTCTGAGGAAACGTAATTAGTTCAGTTTCCATTTCAAACTAACACTTAAATATTTCATTTTTCAGTTAACCTTTCAATGCCACAGGATTCAGAAAAGAAGAAATGCTAAACATGTAAAATGAAAACCACCTCACTATCAGATTCAAGACCAAGGCCTTAGAAAGGAAAAAGTAAGCAGATCTAGCCAGGAAGATGTTACAGCATTTTTTCCCAGGGTAACAGCATGTGCAGGTGTCAGGAGGCACTTCGTTTTTCACACTAATTGCCATGCATATAAAACCCAGGGAAAACAGAGTTCAAGGAACAGCTGTGACAATGAAGTCTGATTAAACCAATGGGAGCTTTAAAGGAATTTGTGGGTATGTGTGTATGCATATGCACGTCTGCTGGGAAGAGAAACAGATATAAAGAAAGTCATATATACTACTTTTTAAAATTGTACAATATTTTAAAGTTATATCTTTGAATGTTTGTTTCTACCTGCTTCTTCCTTTTAAGTGTCAAATGAATTATGAGTAAACTTCAACCAAGGACCAAGTCCAACCATGACTACATTTGATTTGGCTCATTGGGCACATTTATGCCTTAGCTGAGTGATATCTATATTTACAACTTAAAAAGAGAATACAAAGGTACAATTACATATAACTCAGCCTTCTAGAAGGTTACAAGAGAATCTTGCTACGGCATCAGCAAAGGTTTTTGGTTTTTGCCTCCCCCAAAGTAGGCCTTAACTCCAAAGCAGTTATATTACTTTCTGATCCTGTCAATATAATGAAAATTTCTAATGAATTGGCAGTGATATTCCGAAAGTTTCTTCATTAAAAGCCCAGCTGAGCTCCCAGCTACTAGCCATTGTTAACTGCCAGCCATATGACTGAACCACTGTGGATGCCTGCCCAGTGATGTCTTCAGATATCTGTGCCCACAGTTGGCAGCTGGTCACAATCACATGAGAGACCCCAAGTGAGAACCTTCTGTTTGAGACCCTTCTAACCAACAACCCTTGAGAAATATGATAAATTATTGTTATAAGCCATGGAGGTTTAGAGTAGTTTGTTTTGAAGAAACAGATCATTGAAACACCAGGCAGGAGTGGAATCTGAGCCCAAAGCATTGATGGATCTGCAATATTTAGGAGGCAAGAAAAAGGTGCAGAAGTAAAATAGATCATTTTTTTAGTTGTTGTGTGAGGCACCTTTCAACAAATCATAGCAAAGGGGTCTTATGTAGTAAATAACACACTAGATTCTTGGGGAAAAAATGCATATAACACAAGGGTATACAGTAAACTTGGAGAATCATGTACCTGTTATAAGTTTTCAAGATCTTCAGGTCTCCATACTGTGTCTGTAAGGGTTTTGCGTGTCACTAAGTAAGGAATACAGTCTCTGGGGCAGAAATATGGAAGAGTACTAGTCATATAGCTCTGAATGCCAATGACTTACACCAATAAAGAGGACATGATGTCTGAAATCTAAACAGGTAGGCAATGTATGTTATGGGGTTTGCTAAACCATTCTACTTATTTTACTTACATGTGTTTTATGGTATTGCTTCACATAGGCCAACACATGAGAATTCAAAAATGCACTTAGATGTTGGGGATCTCAACAATGACTCATACCCTGGGATGAACCCCTCCCAGTTTAGAACCTTCAGAAGGAAGGACTGCCCTTGCCTTTTTATCTCTTGGAAGTCATCCTATGCTCTGAGACATTACAGGAATTCCAGGCAGTCTCAGACTTCCCATCATCTACTCATTGTTGTCCCAGGATTTGTACTGCTGAACCACTTATCCAGTCATCAACTGATCCATTCAGATGCAAAGAGGAAGAAGAATTTGGGAAAATCCACATGAATAATTTACAAAAATATCTATTAGGATTTGATTGTAATTGGTGATACAAGCATGTAGAAGAGAAAAAGCTAGTGAGGTCAGCCTGGTTAATGAAATGAGGGAAGAGCACTAAAACTAAGTTTTATTCCAAAGGCTTTTTTTCTAGGTCACTTTTCTGGGAGTTGATTCCTATGGGGAAAGTGAGTGAGTGAGTGTCAGTCGCTCAGTCATGTTTGACCCTTCGCAACACCATAGACAGTAGGTAGCCCGCCAGGCTCCTCTGTCCATGGAATTCTCCAGGCAAGAATACTGGAGTGGGTTGTGATTCCCTTCTCCAGGGGAACTTCCCGACCCACAGATTGAATCCTGGTCTCCTGTGTTGCAGGTGGATTCTTTACCATCTATCTGAGCCACAGAATTTACAAATGAAAAATGTCATATGGTCCAAATTTTGAAGAATTTGCAGTATATTTTCACTTGCTTCTGGAGATCTTTTTTCACTGAATTAAAATATTTTTTGAAAAATGTATATTATAGATAATTTGTTAACCCTCAAAAATCCAGAAGATAGTTACTTATAATACTTTTATGAGTAATAAAGAAACAATGAGAAGGGAATGGGATTAGATGTCGCAAACTAACAAACTTCAATCACAAAGAATTTCTTACCATGATACCTGTATGAAGCATTATGTAATGCACAGTTTGAGTGACATCAGCTGCATGAATCAAATTGTGGTATGGATTTTTGTACTTGCTGTAACCAACTTCTAGAGCTTCTGCAAAGGCAATTAGGCAAGAAACAGGAATCTGCAGAAAGTAATAATTATGATTATATTTTGACCAAAAGAGTGGCACTAAATTAACATGAGCATAAAGATGCTTGGGATGGGACACATCAGTGAGTCAGATGTGGGCAGTAGTTTCTTAAAGTTAAATGTGGATTGTTCCAAGAAAACAGTTCATTAATCTGTCAGTTTTCAATGCTGATGAGAATTATAACCCCCAAATGTTTAATTAAGATAGACGAAATAACAGTCTTAACCATATAGCAATCTTTAAATTTTTATATCTTCTAGAGTCAAATAAGAAGGCTAGTTTTTAAAGGCATAAAATTTTCCAATTACAACTGGTAAAATCTAGTTTTTCTACCAGTAATGACCTCCCAGTAACTTCTAACTCTAAAAAATGACCTCCCAGTAACTTCTAACTCTAAAAAATGACCTCCCAGTAACTTCTAACTCTAAAAAATATCATGACTCCATAGATACACACTGAGAAATCTGAATCAAATTTGTGGCTGAGATAGGTCTAAGTGAAGTTAATTAGAAGCCCTTTCGTTTTAAGAAAAGCTGCCAGAAACGGTTCATTTTGCATTTTAGGGAACTCATATTTCTTTAAGACACAGATTCCAATGTGTACACGAGTGTTCCATGAGTAATTCAAGGTGACATTCATATCTTGTTGCAATGACACTATCATGGCTTTATGATACCACAGTGGAAATAAAGAAATGTTAGTGATTTGTGGAGAAAAGCCATATCATGTGGTGAACTCATCCCCACAGTTCTGTGATCTGCCAACCCAAAAACATTTTTAGATGAATTGATTAATGAGTCAATGTTTTGCATTTACACTCTCATACAGATAACTCATTCTAAGAGGATTTTACTTTTGTTCCACGTTTCTGACCTTGAAACGGTTGATAAGATCATATCTGGTGAATAGTTCATAAATCATAAACTTCAGACTATGTTCTCCACTTGCTTCATTCAAGGCAAATACATCAAAAGACCATTTATCAACATCCTGTAGGAAAAAAAGTAAACATTTTATATGACAACATCACGTGGTTTTGTTTCTTTCTATGAAAAATTCTTAGAAAGATCAGGAATTATACATCCAGCAGGTCAGAATTCAATTCAGCACAACAGACTTTACTTTCACCAGCATCTGATATGACAGGGACACAGTGTCTATGGATCCACAACACTGAAGTCTGTATACTTAAGTCCTCCCCCTTAATCCCAAGGTTATCCAATTTGATATAATAAACTATAACTCCCTTATTCTTAGTCTCTCTCCAGATGAAAGCTATAAATTATTTTCCCAAAGTGGGCCTAAGTTTAAGGTAGAATTCCAGGTTATGTGGGTGATTTAATTGAGGGATAGAGGGAAGATAACCCCGATTTACCTTCCCCACCCACACACCTACTATACTGCTTGAACGTCCGCCTTTTCAGTTTAGTTCATTCTGTCGCTCAGTCGTGTCCGGCTCTTTGCGACCCCATGAATCGCAGCATGCCAGACCTCCCTGTCCATCACCAACTCCCAGAGTTTACTCAAACTCATGTACATCGAGTCGGTGATGCCATCCAGCCATCTCATCCTCTGTCGTCCCCTTCTCCTCCTGCCCCCAATCCCTCCCAGCATCAGGGTCTTTTCCAATGAGTCAGCTCTTCGCATCAGGTGGTCAAAGTATTGGAGTTTCAGCTTCAGCATCAGTCCTTCCAATGAACACCCAGGGCTGATCTCCTTTACGATGGACTTGTGGGTCCACCCTTTAAGAGCTACTAATTTGCTTTAGACCTTTGATATTTTGAGTCTTTTTTTTTTTTTCAAGATGCAGATACTTCCTTGGCGGCTCAGGGGTAAAGAATTTGACTGGCAATGCAGGAGACACAGGTTCAAACCCTGGTCTGAGAAGATCGCACACGCTGCAGACCAACTAAGTCTGTACACCGCAACTGCGGAGCGTGTGCCCTAGAGGCGGGAAGCGGCAACTCCGGGGCCCACGCGCCACAGCTACTGAAGCCCGCATGCTCTAGAGTCCGTGTTCTGCATCAAGAGAAGCCACTGCAATGGGAAGCCTGCGCACCGCAACTGGAGAAGAGGCCCCGTCCTCCACAACTAGAGAAACAACCAGCACAGCCAAAAATAAGTAAATAATTTTTTTTTTTAATATGCAGGTGCTCGAGAGAGAGAGAGAGAGAGAGAGAGAGAGAGAGTACTGTTTCTAGGTAGAGTAATAGTACTTTATTCCTCACTCTAACCTTGGCTGATTCATCTTTACTTTTTCACCAGGGCCAGATGGTGAGATAAAGGAAGTGGGCCTCTTGACTGGGGAGGAGGATAGTGTTTTTGGCATTTCAGGTAATTCCCCAGGGAAGTGATCAGGCCTGTAGTGAAACAGATACCCTATGAAAGTACCCCCTAACTGTGGGAAAGAGGGCAATGAGCAGGTATACCAAACCAGTCCAGCCACCTAAGGATATTGATTCAGGTAATTCCAGGTCAAAAACTTGCAGAGAAGCCCACAAATGGACGTGCAGTAAGTGTTATCAGTACATTAAAGATGTGTTAAGATACAGTTTGAGTTTGCAATCATAAATAAATCTCTGAAACTTAGAAATCTACAGAAACACAGCAGAATCAGTTCTAATAATTATCAGAAATTATTAACAAAGAAGGTCTAGTGTTTGCACACATAGGATAGGTTTAGCATTGGACAGTAAGTGGATAACCTTAAAGCTGTATATTAATTTCAAATTTAAGCAGGCCCTGTATTAGAACTTTTCATTTAGCATATTTCACAGAGACAACAATACATAATGTAATAAGCTGAAAATATGATAAACAGTATTCAAGCCATCTTTTAAAACTCTTTTGACAAACAGTAACAATAACTCCAAATGCAGTTTTAATCATTTGGGAACACCAAGGAAATATTTTTTGGCTTGCTTGTGTACCTTTGTTAAATTCTTTGCATTTGGCCTTAATTTGATCCCCAAATACTTGCTTGATCTGTTTGTAAATTTAAAATCTCTCAGAGTTCTGTTAGAAGTCATTTTGCCATTAATAAAGCTCAAAGGAGACAAACAAACCTCTTACTAAATCCCAAAGCTAACACAGAGGAATCAGTTCAGACTGTTGCAAGGCTGTTGCTTACAGTTCCTGCTAGGGGTTTCCAACTGAAGAAAAGGTTAGCTCTCCATCTGGGGGCATTTTTTTTTTATCAGCAATGATAATTTATATCTGTAAACTTCTGCAGATGCTTGGCTTTTACTTTGTCAGGCTGAGAACAAACAAGGCTGGAGGTATCTCAGGAAAGCAGAATTATTAAAACATGCTTAGTGATAATTCTCCTCAACCTGTTAGTTCGTGTTTCCTCTCTATACTACGTTTTTGAAATCTGCTTGCATTCTCTCATACCAAAATATTCTGGTAGTTAGTTTCTATAAAAATAAAATTGATTTTCTTGCCTACATTTGAGGAAATAATGAGGAAATAAAAATCTTTTAAGAGCTAAGGAATAATTCATATCCAATAATATGGCATTTCAGTTATATACTAGCCTCTATTATAGTTTTAGAAACATGAATATAAAAAAGCTTCTGAGTAAAACAAATTGCTTTTTTAAATGAATAAGATTAAAATCTAATATGCAGTAGAGAAAAAAGCAAATGCAGAGAAAAAACAAAGGGGATGTTTAAAAGGGAATTAAGGAACAAAAGAAATCAATAGAAATGTAAACTAGGAAAGGGGTTTAATATATAAAAAATAAAGTAACTTGGTATATTCTGTTGCTAGTATTCTTTAAATTTTTGGTTAATACAGGAAACCACTATAAAGCTATTAGAAGAGACAAAGTTGAATTTCCTACCAAATTAAGCAACAGAATGAAATAGGGAATGTAGAATGACAAGCCTACAAAATGCCTCTTTAGTAATATAGTCTAGGAACAGTGTTCACACACACACACAGACAAAGTGGGAACAAGTGAGTCAAAAACTTTTACCACATCAGATTTTCAACTCTAGTTATTTCTAATGTATGTAATACTGCAACTGGGCCTCAGACTAGGGCAACCACAGGGAAAGTCAGAGACAAAAGAGATAAATTTCTTTTTTGTTTTCTTTCTTGATTTTATCTTCCTTTTTATATTTTCTCAGACCTAAAATTCTAAACAATTTTCTTCGATCTAAGTTTTGTCCTTTAATTATATTTGACTGAAATGTCTTTTCACTGACAATGCATTCGTTTGATAATATATAGTAACAAAATATGTGTATTCTGACAAATGCTGATGCCATTTCAAAGTTGATACAAGATCCACCTAAATAAAGCAGAAAGCACAAAGCATAAAAAAGACAACATCACACACATATGTGTATTTATACATGGATATTAACAGCTGTTACTGATAAACATCTATATGTATTGATACAGTTTGTTAGTATAAACATTAACAAACTGATCCTCCTTTAAATCAAGTTACGACTTTAAACACATGACATTTGTAAATGATTAAAATAATTTTTTATATTCTGATATGTAAACTACATCAAAGACCTATTCTTATTTTCCTCCCATCACTTTAAAGAGTCTAGAAAAAAATGACTATTTGATAAACTAAGATAACTGAAACTTTTTACCTTTAATGTTACTATGACAGGTTCTGGATATGCCAAGCCAACCATGTGATAGGACTTTCTGTACATTCTGAAAAAGAAAAACAAGTGTATATATAAAAATCATTTACTCAAAGTTTTTAACTGTTTCTTAAAAACAAAGAAATAATTACCTTTGACTTGTTGACCTGGTATCATTAGATACAGATTCTCTTTCTGGCAATAATGATAATTATTGCCATCATTTATTACATGTTTACAATGAAAATAGTATTTTGTTTACTCGCAATCACATATAAAGTCAATATGGTTTTAACGTCTATGTAAAGAGATCTTTTCCTAAACTTCATCTTATTAAAAAAAAAGACTGTCATTTGCATGTGCAGCAACAATACTTTTTAGCAGACCATCACATTCAAGAGAGCAGAGCAGCCTTGTTTTCTGTCCTTCTGTGTTACGAAATTTTCAGTCTGGAAGCTGAATGTCACTGAAATAGTCCTTTATAGGTTTTCTTTCTTTTTTCACAAAATGAAAATTATAGAAGAGAATATGTAACATCATCAGAATTTACACACCTTACTTTTTTTTGTTTTAGTTAAGAATATTGGGAGAAACCATATTGAAAAAAAATTGCTTAAGTTTGTTCAAACTGTCTTTTAATATTATTTAATAAATATTATCAAGAAAGGATATTTTTATTTTTATAGTAGCAACAATAAAAATATTTTTATTAATCAGTAATTTGTTGGTTCCATTTTCCAATGGAAAATCAAGATGACTTAAATAAATATAAGAAACTCTTCCACTGATTTGTGCAAAAATAGAATCAACATGATACCCTAATGTGTAGAAATAGCAATAGGTTTCTAACCAGGACTGAAAGAAACATGGTTCCTCCACAAAGTCCTGTGAAAACCATGGAAAAATCATGTCCCTTAATTTTTACATTGTTAGCTCACAAGCAAGTTTCATTCCTAGATTACACTGTAGTAACTTCTCCTCACAAGATGTCTGAACAAAGCCATAATTTAATGGCTATATCATTATATTGGGGGTCAATATAAGAAATATAAGAAAATATTCTGCATCTTTTATAGAATCACTAAGGGAAATACTAACTCTTTTGACTCAATGTATCTTATATTAAAAATTCATAAGACATTACTCAGTTCCTATGTAAATGCTATCTTTTTTTAAGATAATAAAAGCCAAATAATTTTTCATGCTTTCCTTTTTAATCTTCACTTCTCAGATGTTCAGAATTAAAATATTGTATTTACGTACATAGAGATTAGGCTTTCTTGATAAAGAATCTTCCCATTTTATTACAGAGACCTTGTTAGTTTATTTCCATGTTCCCATTTTAAAATTCACATTCAAAAAACTAAGATCATGGCATCTGGTTTTACCACTTCATGGCAAATAGGTGGGGAAACAATGGAAATAGTGACAGACTTTATTTTCTTGGGCTCCAAAATCACTGCAAATGGCAAATGCAGCCATGAAATTAAAAAAAAAACACTTGCTCCTTGAAAGAAAAGCTATAACAAACCTAGACAGCATATTAAAAAGCAGAGACATTACTTTACCAACAAAGGTCCCTACAGACAAAGATATGGTTTATCCAGTAGTTATGTACAGATCTGAGAGTTGGATCATAAAGAAGGCACCAAAGAACTGACTCTTTTGAACTGTGGTGTTGGAGAAGACTCGAGAGTCCCTTGGACAGCAAGGATATCAAACCAGTCAATCCTAAAGGAAATCAGTCCTGAACATTCATTGGAAGGACTGAGGCTGAAACTGAAGCTCCAATACTTTGGCCACAAGATGCAAAGAGCCAACTCCTTGGAAAAGACCCTGAGGCTGGGAAAGATTGAAGGCAGGAGGAGAAGGGGATGACAGAGGACGAGATGGTTGGTTGGCATCACTGACTCAATGGACATGAGTTTGAGCAAGCTCTGGGAGATGGTGAAGAATAGGGAAGCCTGCTGTGCTATAGTCCATGGGGTCACAAAGAATCAGACACTACTGAGCTACTGAACACAATTTAATTTTTGTCTTGAAAGTGAAAGTGAAGTCACTCAGTCCTGTCTGACTCTTTGTTACCCCATGGACTGTAGCCTATCAGGCTCCTCTGTCCATGGGATTTTCCAGGCAAGAATACTGGAGTGGGTTGCCATTTCCTTCTCCAGGGGATTTTCCCTACCCATGGATTGAACCCAAGTCTCCTGCATTGTAGGCAGACGCTTTACCGTCTGAGCCACCAGGAAGTCTTAAATGACCTTAAATAATTTTTAGATGTGGCAAACAGTTATAATAAAAAATTATCCTTATCCTCTATCTCAGTTGGAAGATTTCAGAGCAGGCTATCAGAAAAATGCTAACATTACTTTCTCCACTAAGATAGGTATATATATTTTAATCTTACAGAACAAGGAAACAATTTAATCACAATATAAAAGGTCCAGGCATTTTTTTTTTATAAAAAATTTTAAAAAAATAAATAAAAGGTCCAGGAAAAGAGGAACTAAAGAGTTTTTTGATGAAAATGAAAGAGGAGAGTGGAAAAGCTGGCTTAAAACTCAGTATTCAAAAAACTAAGATCATGGCATCCAGTCCCACCTCTTCATGGCAAATAGATGGGGAAACAATGGAAATAGTGAGACTATTTTCTTGGGCTCCAAAATCAGTGCAGATGGTAACAGGAGCCATGAAATTAAAAGACACTTGCTCCTTGGAAGAAAGCTCTGACCAACCTAGACAGCATATTAAAAAGCAAAGACATTACTTTGCCAACAAATGTCCGTCTAGTCAAAGCTATGCTTTTTCCATTAGCCATGTATGTATGTGAGAGTTGGACCATAAAGAAAGCTGAGTGCCAAAGAATTGATGCTTTTTTCTACTGTGGTGCTGGAGAAGACTCTGAAAAGTCCTTTGGACTACAAAGAGATCAAACCAGTCCCTCCTAAAAGAGATCAGTTCTAAATATTCCTTGGAAAGACTGATGCTGAAGCTGAAACTCTAATTAATTTCAGCCACCTGATGCAAAGAACTGACTCATTGGAAAAGAACCCTGATACTGGGAAAGATTGAAGGCAGGAGGAGAAAGGGACAACATAGGATGAGTTGGTTGGATGGCATCACCAACTCGATGGACATGAGTTTGAGCAAGCTCCATCAGTTGGTGATGGACAGGGAAGCCTGGTGTGCTGCAGTCTATGGGGTGGCAAAGAGTCAGACACAACGGAGCTACTGAACTGAACTGAAATGATATTTAGTTTAGTTTTTTTTTTTTTTTTGAAGAAACAAATAGTTTTTTCTGTCTATTTTTTGAATCATTACTAAAAAATGGAGGTACAGGGGTAATGGAAGTTGGATGGGCAAGGAGCTAAGTGGTCAGGAATAAGAAACTTTAAAAATTAAGTAACTTTAAATCTGTGTAACTTCATGGTACAAAAGGCAGTATTATGTAGCAAAGAGAAAACAAAATTTGGATCTTGGATCACAGGTTAACCAATCCCTAGCTGTGTGACCTCTAGAAAGCTAATGTCAGTTACTTGTAAAATAAGGATAATCATACACTTTTTATGAAGATAAATGATATAAACACCTAGTGTAACATTATTATAAGTACTCAATATAAGAAAGCTGCTATTATTTTTTAAATGCTTGTTTGTTTATTTTTGGCTGTTCTGGGTCTTCGTTGCTGTGTTCAGGCTTTCCCTAGTTGCAGTGACCAGGAACTACTCTTTAGCAGCTCCCAGTCCCTGCAACTGGAGAAGTTAGTGTTCTGGCTTCTCATTGTGGTGGCTTCTCTTGTTGGGGGGAATTGACTCTAGGGGGCCTGGGCTCAGTAATTCTGGCCCATGGCCTTAGTTGCCTGAAGGCATGTGGAATCTTTCCAGAGCAGGGATCATACCAGTGTCTTTTGCATTGGCAGAAGGATTCTCAAACACTGGAGTACCAGGGAAGTCCCAGAAATCATTATTCTTAATATTAACATTACTGTTCTCATTACTCTGCAGCCAATACCATTGGCTCCAATTCTGACATTCTTCAAGGCTCTTTGGGTTCGATGAGAACTCTCATGTTTCTTAGACTTGGAGCAGGTTTGAGAAATGAATATCCCTGTATATTCTCATTATATATAAAGAAAGAGAAGGAAGAGGATTACTCTTCTAAGGAGAAGGAGAAACCACTTCATTATCATTTTCTAACTTTATACTTGGGAATAGGATATTAGCGTGAAAACTTAAAAAATTAGTGTGGAAAAGTAGGATAACTCATTCTGGAGAATGAATGTGGGAGAAACCTTAATGCAGTGGTCTCACGTATGAGTAAATAGTCATTATATTACAAGTTGCTGAAAAAGAACAATGGATTTCCTGTTCTCCTGTAAGTGGTAAAAGTTCAGCTGGAAATAGGGAAGATTATTTTTGGCAGGTTTTTTATTACAGTTGCAGAATATAATTCAAAAACTGTAAAAAAAAAAAAAGCTATCATATGCCGGACATTGTGGTGGACAAGAGACTACTCAGTGGAGAATAAGAAACCTATGTGTTGTTTTCACAGGGTTTATTTAGTGGTGAAGAGGGACAATAAATAAGAAATAATACATGAGTAAAAAGAGCACTAAATGCTATGAGGTAAATCACTGGTTGGGATAGAGAAAGTGATGAAGAGTATACAGAGTAACCAGGAAAGGCCTCTGGAAAGATAGAAACGGCTAGTCAGAGTGAAGTTTGGGGAAAATCATTTCTGATAGAGGAAAGAGCAGAATTACTGGTCCCAAGGGAAGAAAGCTCCGTTTAGTCGCTCAGTCACGTCTGACTTTTTGTGACCCCATGGACTGCAGCACAGCAGGCTTCCCTGTCCATCACCAACTCCTGAAGCTTGCTCAAACTCATATCTATCAAGTCAGTGATGCCATCAAGCCATCTCATCTTCTGTTGTCCCCTTCTCCTCCTGCCTTCAATATTTCTCAGCGTCAGGGTCTTTTCCAGTGAGTCACTTCTTTGCATCAGGTGGCCAAAGTATTGGATACTCATAGAGTTGAAATCACACTAGTATAGATATTCAGTAAAGGGTGATAGTAGCATTAGATGAGTCTAGAAGGTAAGGGGGCCTAGTCATGCAAGCCGTGATACAGAAGTTGCCTTTAATACCAGGTGAAATGGTACATCCAGTGAAATGGTAAAGGCAATCAGATAATTTTAAGCTTACGAATGACAGAACTGAATTTACATTTTAAAAATCACTGTAGAAAGTGACTTGTTTAGAGAAAGCAAGTGAGGAAGCGGGGAGCCTATTGACAGTTATTGTCACGTTTCTGATGGCAGGTGACAAAGGCTTAGATTGGGGTTTCTGGAGAGGAGGTAAGAAAGTGAGTAGGTTTGGGATACCCTGGTGTAAGCAAATTGCTTGGACTTGCTGAGGGGTTGATTCTTGGAAGAGGCTACTTGAGAGAAGACTCAAGAAGCCTTTCTAACTTTCATGATTGAAGATGATTATTTTTGAAAATTCTAGATAAACATATCCTTTTGTTTACATATTTACTAATGGAAACTCAAAAGTAATAGAAAATATTTCATTTCTATGTGTTTTAGTACTTTGATTTCTTTAAGACTACTTACTAATTTAGTTACCTTAAGTACATTTTGATATTTATGTGCAGCAAATGAAAAAAAATGAAAGTTTAACATATCAATATATTTCACAAAATTTGTTTTGATTTTCTATTTAATGAGAATGGAAATTTAGTTGGTTTACTTTTACAATTTTAATTTATTTTTCAGTTTGCCAAATTATATCTTTTCTTAAACAAAAAGGCAAAATATACATTTCTTCATTAAAGCAAACATACACTCTTTTATCTCTGATTCTTTCACTGATTTTCTGACCTACTATTTAGATGTTTTCAAACTGATATTAAGAAAAATCAACTGTCACACACTTACCTAACTTGTTTTAAAAATAGGAATATTATTATAAAAATTATTTCTCTCCAGCCCTACTTGTCTGTTTCAGATTTCAGGTCCCACTTGGCAGAGTTGGGAGCAGTTTATGCACTAGGTGTTGGAGGTATCATCTCACCTAACTAATCAAGCTCATTATACTTATTATGAAGGCTCTTTTATCAAAGGCAATTGGATATGGCTAAAAAATACACAAAGTAATTTGACTAATAATAATTCCGGGTAATAAAGGCATAAACCAAGATCATAGATGCTTTGTTTCTTATGGTTATAATATATCTTTAAATCACATCAAATACTTCTTGCAATGCTTGTCATTTAGATTTTTAGAAACCCAAGAGGGCTTCTCATGTTCCTTTAGCAGAAGAAGATGAAAGTTTAGGAAGTTTATTAGAGGCAATAACTAGAGATGTCTGAAGATAAAAAATAATGTGGTCTCCTTTAATTTTAAATACATTGGTAAAAAATTTCTCTGTTCCTTAATTTTGCTTTGATAACCTTTGTTATTTATAACTTAATGTAGTATAATTGTTTTTAAGTCTAAGTAAGTATAAGGAACTTTTAAGAACTATTTCTCAACATTGTCAGATGTAAGATGTTTATTTCGAGCCTTTTTATAGTTTTAGTTCTGAAGCATCTTATTTACAGACAGAAAAATAAGCTATGTTAAGGGCTAAATAATATAAAATCCTGTCATATTAACATGTATTTCACATTAGAAATTCTAGTGATTTGACTTGCTGCTTCTAAGGACCAGCAAGTAACAGAAGTGCTTCAGTGACAGAAAAGTTAAAAAGCTCTTCAAGGAGATTGGACATGAGAGAGCTTTACTCCAAGGTCGTAAGAGTGTGGAGTAAAGGCCTGCTTCACTTAAGTGTGGAGAAAAGGCCTGCTTGATTTTGTTATGTAGTATAGAACTTATTTTATCAGGCACTACATTTTACTTGGGTAATATTAGGTCTAGAGCATATGAATGTATTATAATTATTTTTAAACAGTTACTCATAAAGATTCATATGAGAATGGCCATTCAAAAGTCTATACTTTATTTAAGTCTTTATACTAATTTAAAATAAACAAAAATAAATCCAGGACAAGATATTTCTTGTTATAGGGTAAATTCCCTCATAAAGTCCTAAATCCGCTTATTCCAGGTATACTTATGATTACAGTTTTCCTCAATAAGTAAACTGTAGGACTCTCATAATATTGATATATTAAGTATATTTTCTGCCTTTAAAATTTTTTCTTAATATACAAACAAGTTCACTTACCTTTCCACAAAAATTCCAGCTTGAACAACATGCACAATGCTCCGAAATCTTGGTTTTTCCTCAGATTTCTTTTTCATCATCCCCATTTTCCGTGTAAAGGTAGAAGCCAGCCAGTCCCGGACTTCTGATGGGACAGAATCCGACTGAATGTCACTGAGCTCATCATCAGTATCCAGCAGTCTCCTACAAAAAATTTATAGTGATTAAACCCATTTATGATAAAAACTCTCCAGAAAGCAGGCATAGAAGGAACATACCTAAACATAATAAAAGCCATATATGACAAATCCACAGCAAACATTATCCTTAATAGTGAAAAATTGAAAGCATTTTCTCTAAAATCAGGAACAAGACAAGGGTGCCCACTCTCACCACTACTATTCAACAAAGTTTTGGAAGTCCTAGCCACAGCAATCAGAAGAAAAAGAAATAAGAGGAATCCAGATTGGAAAAGAAGAAGTAAAACTCTCGCTGTTTGCAGATGACATGATCCTCTACATAGAAAACCCTAAAGATACCACCAGAAAATTACTAGAGCTAATCAATGAATATAGTAAAGTTGAGGGATATAAAATTAATACACAGAAATCCCTTGCATTCCTATACACTAATGATGAAAAACAGAAAGAGAAACTGAGGAAACAATCCCATTCACCATTGCAATGAAAATAATAAAATACTTAGGAATAAATTTACCTAAAAAAAAAAAAAGACCTATATATGGAAAACTTTAAAACACTGATGAAAGAAATCAAAGATGACACAAATAGATGGAGAAATATACCATGTTCATGGATTGGAAGACTCAATATTGTGAAAATGAGTATACTACCCAAAGCAATCTATAGATTCAATGCAATCCCTATCAAGCTACCAATGGTATTTTTCACAGAACTAGAACAAATAATTTCACAATTTGTATGGAAACACAAGAAACCTCAAATAGCCAAAGCAATCTTGAGAAAGAAGAATGGAACTGGAGGAATCAACCTTCCTGACTTCAGACTATACTATAAAGCTACAGTCATCAAGACAGTATGGTACTGGCACAAAGACAGACATACAGATCAATGAAACAAAATAGAAAGTCCAGAGATAAATCCATGCACCTATGTACACTTTATCTTTGACAAAAGAGGCAAAAATATACAATGAAGAAAAGACAATCTCTGTAACAACTGGATTTGGGAAAATTGGACAACCACATGTAAAAGAAAGAAACTAGAACACTTTCTAACACCATACACAAAAATAAACTCAAAATGGATTAAAGATCTAAATGTAACACTAGGAACTATAACACTCTTAGAGGAAAACATAGGCAGAACACTCTCTGACATAAATCACAGAAACATCCTCTATGACCCACCTCCAAAAGTAATGGAAATAAAAACAAAAATAAACAAATGGGACCTAATTAAACTTAAAAGCTTTTGCACAATGAAGGAAAATATAAGCAAAGTGCAAAGGCAGCCTTCAGAATGGAAGAAAATAACAGCAAATGAAACTGACAAAGAATTAAATTCCAAAATATACAAGCAGCTCATGCACCTCAATACCAGAAAAAAAGAACAACCCAATCTAAAAGAACAAAACAGACATTTCTCCAAGAAGACATACAGATGGCTAATAAACACATGAAAAGATGCTCAACATCACTCATTATTAGAGAAACACAAATCAAAGCCACAATGAGATATCATCTCACTCGGGTCAGAATGACTGCCCTCAAAAAGTCTTCAAACAGTAAATGTTGGAGAGGGTGTGGAGAAAAGGGAACCCTCTGACACTGTTGGTGGGAATGCAAACTAGTACAGCCGCTATGGAGAACAGTGTGGAGATTCCTTAAAAAACTGGAAATAGAGCTGCCATATGACCCAGCAATCTCACTGCTGGGCATACACACCAAGGAAACTAGAATTGAAAGAGACATGTGTACCCCAATGTTTACAATACCTAGGACTTGGAAGCAACCTAGATGTCCATCAGCAGATGAATGGATAAGGAAGTAGTGGTACATTTACACAATGGAATATTACTCAGCTATAAAAAGGAATGCATTTGAGTCAGTTCTAATGAGGTGGATGAAACTGGAGACTATTATACAAAGTGAAGTAAGTCGGAAAGAGAAACACAAATACAGTATATTAACACATATATATGGAATTTAGAAAGGCAGTAACAATGACCCTATATGCAAGGCAACAAAAGAGAGACAGATGTAAAGAACAGAATTTTGGACTCTGTGGGAGAAGGTGAGGGTGGGATGATTTGACAGAATAGCATTGAAACATGTATACTACCATATGTAAAATGGATATCCAATGCAAGTTTGATGCATGAAACAGGGCACTCAAAGCTGATACTCTGGGAAAACCCAGAGGGATGGGTTGGGGAGGGAGGTGGGAGGAGGGTTTAGAGTGGGGAGACACATGTGTACCTGTGGCTGATTCATGCCGCTGTATGTCAAAAGCAATCACAATATTGTAAAGTAATTATCCTCCAATTAAAATTAATTAACTTAAAAAATTTATAGTGATTAACCTTTAGGAAAAAGTGAAGAAAAACTAATAACAAAGCAAGCAGAGAAATAGGATTTGAAGTATAGCAAGTCACTCTCTATAATCATTTTCTAATATGAGCTATATCAAAAATTCACTAGGTTAATATTTGGAAAGCTCTGAGTTTCTCAAATTGGTCATCTTTTGAGGGCAAAGACTAATGGACTTGAACAGTTGAGAAGTTTCCCAAACATTTAAGTACAGTGACATCAGTCTGGAGATACTGATTATTAATATCATCAATATATTATTCCAATAATGAATAAAACTAAGATAAAATAGGGAAGGGGCTTCCCTGGTGACTCAGCAGCAAAGAATCTGCCTGCCAATGCAGAAGACGTGGGTTTGATCCGTGATCCCAGAAGATCCCCTGGAGAAGGAAATGGAACCCATTCCAGTACTCTTGCCTGGGAAATCTCATGGACAGAGGAGCCTGGTGGGCTACAATCCATGGGGTCACAGAGTCTGACAGTACTTAGTGACTAAACAACAAAATAAGATAGGGAAGAGAGTTCATATGCAGATGTCTATTAAAGGATATATTGGATGGAAAGAAAGAAAAAGGGGAATTGAAGTTATAAAAATTGTCTTCTATTTATTAAGTTTGTGTATACTGAGCACAGAAAGTACATACTACTTGTATAGTCCTTGGAGTTTACAGAAGTCATTCATATGTGTTATTTTATTTGATGCATATCCTTAAATTTTAGGAAAATAATAACTTACTCTATAGATATTCATTCTGTTATCAACAGCACAGATGAGAAGGTGAAAAAAAGAAAGATGAAAACAAATGCAAAAGCTCATTTTGGGTGACCCAGCCAGTGTCAAGTGGAAAAGTTAGAGCAAATGCTATCTGTCTTGAGGGTGCAGATCTGATGGGCTTAGAACTGCTGGCTGAGAAAATCAGCTGTGCGAAGAGGAAGTAACCAGGAGCTCAAAGTGCTGTCCTGCCGCTCTCCAGTATAAGCCCCAGACAGAAAAAGTTGACGGCACTGGCCAGTAATAATAACTGCATTAATCCCGGGCAGCTCCAGTGATCCAGAACTTCCTAAGGGTCTGAACTGGCAAAATAGTGTGAAAGGCTTCACACAAATACACAGAGACTTTACAGAGCAATTGAACTTTGCCTCCAGGAAGAACACAGGCTAGCTCTGTCTGTCGCTTGACTGTTGTTTCTTTGTGGGTGCACCAATTTAGGAACTCAGAGCTATTTTTGGCACACTTTAGCTTTGACCTTTGGGTTCCATTTGCTTTGGTAGATTTCTTTTTTTACAGATAGAGGCCTAAGGATTATGAGCCGATGTAGGGAAGGTAGCCAGAGCTGACAGCGTGTGTTAAAGTCTCCAGAACAAGCCACATATCATCTCTAGAGAGCAGGGATCAAGGAAAGGGCACAAAAGCAGGAAGTTCATCGAAAGCACCCAAAACTACCAAAAAGAGGCTCAAAAGATAATATGACTTCCTCTATGTTCCGCTGGATTTTATAAATGTTTGGATGACAGTCCTTTGCCAATATTTATTTTTCAAAGTATTAAACAAGTATGAATGCATTTATGAAATACCTTATGAAAAAATATACACAACTTAAGTGCAGGAAGTACAAAATTACATGTACACATATGAAGATAAAAAAGACATAGTTAGAAGTTAATATTAATACTTACTCTAAATCATATTTAATTTTCATTTGGCTCTTACATTTGGATGATTTTGATTTATACCTAACACATGGACATTGTAATTCAAAGCAAATTGTTTTTTTCCTCCTTTTGCTCATTTAAAATTAGATTCCTCAGTTAATCGCAGCAAGACATTCCACTACATAGTTTGAAAACTTCAGGGCTTATGCCATTTCTATTATTATTGATGCCATTTCTATTACTCTTTACGCAATGATCAAATAAAGCCAAAGAACAGGACAGGTGGAATGGGAATCATTGTGTGTAATCCTATGATGTCGCTGCGCTCCAAGAATTCTACTGCTGCCTTGATTTTCAACTACGCTGAGTAGAATGACAGACATACGGTAATGGTTGTCAATTGGTCCTTTGCAATCTGATGTGGAGGACTTTAGGACTACACGTCCTAAAATCATAAATTATCCATGACAGTTCATAAAACATGATCAAATCAGCATATGAGAGTTCATATATAGATGTGGTACCCAGGAGTCTAGCAATTCTTAGTCATCATGCATGATGTCATTTATTGAGAGGGAAGAACATATAACTTCAGGGGGAAAAAGAGTGATATAGATTAATTAATGAATATAAAAATAGAGGAACAGAGTGCATAAGGAGAAAAGCATGAAATATTCTAATGTACAAAAAAGCAAATCTCAAAAAAGCAACAAACTCTGGGACAGTTAATTTTTTATGTTCACACACCTAGCTTATGATGCTGTGTTGTTTAGTCAAACACCAGTCTAGATCTTGTAGTGAAGGTATATTTTAGATGTGGTTTACATTGAAATCAGTAGACTTTGAGTAAAGCAGGCTACCCTCCATAATGTGAGTGGACCTGATCCAATCAAAGGCCTTAAACAATAAGAAGGAATCTTGCCTCCAAACTACCGTCAGACTCAACATTTACATATGTCAGAATTTCCAGCCAGTGTCT